CAGTTTAATACAAAGCAGGTTGCATATTCATATCTCAACAACATATGAATGTAATATTTGCCACTGGACATTAAAACAATAACTCATCATCATCATCATCATCTTAAATTACTAATCACTAAACTATTGAACATTTTAAATGGGAATCAAGACAAATAGAATGTTTACCAATGAATATATACAATCAGATCAATGGCAACATTCAAAGTAAACTACTAAATCAAAGTATAAAAGGCATGAAACCTTTTCTCTTTCATGGTTCTATACAGAAATGACAGATGATTAAGTGAATATTGAAACACTTCACATTTTTATTGACATGAAAAAATATTTTCTGGCTTCCATCAGCTGATTACCTGTTAAAAAACACAAAAATAACCAAGTCCAGATGTTAACCTGTAAGATTGTACAGAAAATCGGCAGGGGTTGACAGGTGTTTGGGATAACTGTCTCCATGTAGTAATTAATATGTAATGATGATGGTTCACCATGTAAAATCCATTTCTTCTTTAAATTAAAAACATTCATAAGATTCTGATTTTATTGGGATCTTTAAGAAGTTTGTAATGACTGTCAAAAAGTAACCATATCACAATTTAATTATTAATCTTTGTGGTTTTTGGGAAAGTGCATTTTTTAATATGATCATGGGAACTCGTGCAATCAAGACCCTAAATTATACTTTTAAGCTTTTAAGTGCATGACTGGGGAGGTCATATGTGAAATGATTTTTCATACTTGACAACACTCTAAATTACTGTAAACAATATCTTATTAAATAAAAAGTATGTTTGGCACATAAAAAATACACATATGGTTCTTGGTTATGGATTTTTAATTTTAGTAATGTCAAATTCAATGAAAATTGATATAATTCAAAGTGATTCAACACCCGAAAGTTCAAATGCATTAATTTGTTTAGTTTTCATTTGAAATTCTGATTGTTTTTTATGTACAAGTTATAATTTATTTTATTGCAACCAGAGACATATAATACAGTTGTATTATTGGTCCATGTGGGCGTAAAGTGCTTTTTCAATAAAGTAAAGTAATTAAATGTATATGTCACTGTTGCGACCAAGGATTTATAATTACTTATACTATTCATCCTTTTAATAATTTTAGTATGATTTTTATACGACTTGTGGTCGTATATTGGTATGACGTTGGCGTCGTCGTCGTCTTTGTCCGAGGACACATTAGTTTTCGCACTCTAACTTTAGTTTAAGTGAATGGATCTCAATGAAATTTTACCAAAAGGTTCAATACCACAAAAGGAAGGTGGGGATTGATTTTGGGGGTTATTGTACCAACAGTTAAGGAATTAGGGGCCAAAAGGGGCCAAAAATAAGCATTTTTGTAACTTCCAAACATAACTTGTGTGTAAGTGTATGGATCTCTCTGACATTGTACCACAAGGTTCCATATTTTAAAGGGAATGCTGGGATTGATTTTGGGGGTAATTGCCTCCAAATTTTAGAATTTAGGGGCCAAAAAGGGGCAAAAAACTAGCATTTTTCTAGTTTCATGACAATCACTTGTGTGTAAGTGTATGGATCTCTCTGACATTGTATCACAAGGTTCCATATCACAAGGGGAATGCTGGGATTGATTTTTGGGGTAATTGCCTCCAAATTTTAGGAATTAGGGGCCAAAAAGGGGCAAAAAACAAGCATTTTTCTAGTTTCATGACAATAACTTGTGTGTAAGTGTATGGATCTTTATGAAATTGTACTACAAGGTTCCATATCACAAAGGGAAAGCTGGAATTGAGTTTGGGGCTAATTGCCCAAAAAGTTTAGGAGTAAGGGGCCAAAAAGATGCCAAAAATAAGCATTTTTCTAGTTTCCAGACAATAACTCGTGTTCAAATGTATGTATCTCTCTGAAATTGTACTGCAAGGTACCATACCACAAAGGGAAGGCTGGGATTGATTTTGGGGGTAATTCCCTCAAAATTTAAGTAATTAGGGGCCATAAAAGGGCAAAAAAACAAGCATTTTTCTAGTTTCAGGACAATAACTTGTGTGTAAGTGTATGGATCTTTATGAAATTGTACTGCAAGGTTCCATATCACAAAGGGAAAGCTGGGTTTGAGTATGGGGGTAATTGCCCTAAATGTTTAGGAATTTGGGGCCAAAAAGGGGCCAAAAAACAAGCATGTTTCTAGTTTCCAGACAATTACTTGTGTTCAAGTGTATGGATCTCTCTGAAATTGTACTGCAAGGTACCATACCACAAAGGGAAAGCTTGGATTGAGTTTTGGGGTGATGAATCATAAGAGGGTTCAAAAAATTGGGGGGGGGATTTTTTTTTCCTTTTTTTTTCTTTAAAATTTTCCATTTTAAATTGGTTATTTCTGATTATATATAAAAGCAAATAATAATGATATGGTTTGAATAGGTAAATTAAAATTTTTTAAGTTCTTAGACCACTTTCATTCTGTGTGAGAAACCTATGCTGTGTCAAATATTTAATTACAATCCAAATTCAGTGCTGTATCAAGCTTGAATGTTGTGTCCATACTTGCCCCAACTGTTCAGGGTTCGACCTCTGAGGTTGTATCAAGCTGTGCCCCAGCGGAGCATTTTATTGATGGATTACATCTTGCATCTTCTGATAGGCTTTGTGATATTAAAAAAATCCCTTCATATTATAATACTGGTTGTAGAAAAGGCCAAATACTTCATGCCAGACTCTGGTTGAACTGCAGTGGCTTAAATGAACACCTTTTCCAGAAAATTATTGTTCATTCTGGCCTCTGTATATATGGACAAATTGAGAGCAGCAAACACTACCTGCTAGAATGTCATTATTATAGTCTCATCAGGGCACAAACCATTTCCACACTACCAAGAAATGTTATTATACAAACATTAGTTTCATGTAGTTGAAACTCCTCAGTGATGAGGAAAACAAAAATGTTTTTCAAAAATGTACAAAATTTTATTTTGGAAATGTAGATTTGGTTTATAAATCTTATGATTTTTATGTCAACTTATATTTTGAAACTTTGTAATTGAACTATATCTTGTGGATGTCATATTCACAGCTACGACCACAATTAGAAATGATTTGATCGCATCTTTCGATCAAACTGACTTCTGAATAACTGGCAAACCACAGAAAAAGCATGGAATGTAAATTGTATATTACCAGTATATTATAGCGTGTTTCTTTACACTGCTTTCCCAATGTTGTCATCTTGTTAAGGGAGACAGATTTATATAAGTTCTTCTTGTTTTTGAATCACCATTTTTATTATATAATTGTAATTTTGGGCACTTTTGAAAAATAATATATTGTTTTAAGATGTAAATATGTTTATCCCTTACTATTAAACAGTCAATAAAATTTTTGATTTGGCCAGTATTTATTTTTACTACCTGCAGAATTCTTTTAACGTTTTATTTAGAGTGATCTCCCTTACAATTGGTTTTGCCTCTGATTTACATTTCATGCAGTTAATTGGATATTAATTACCCTTAATTATCAATAGACAAGACACTTATATCTTAGTTATATAATAAATGTCAAATTTATCACACCTATTGCAGTTCCGCCCATCTCTCTGATTTCCCCCTCCTGTGGAAACCTACTAAAATTCTCAATAAGTGACATAATTATTGTTAAATGTACTCCATTCAAACTCCCCCACCTGTCATTCTACTCCAACATCTTCCCAAACTCGTTAACACCTGGTTACAGGTAAAAAAAATATCAAAAATGTTTGATTTATGATTTTATTAAGTTTATGGCCAATTATAAACAGTGTGACATTGGAATAACAAAAAATATATTAAATTGATTTCGAATAAACTTTTGAACCCAAATGTGCAAATTGATCTTTATGTTTTCAATCATACTCTGGTTTTCATTTGAATAATGAAATTCAATGCAAAGATGATAAAGTATACATATTTAAATTTATTTTTATACATATCAGGGGGAAAAAAGGGAAATAAATTTATATTTTGTAAACTCTCATTTACATATGATTTATCCTAAACAAATGGAAGGAAATTAAAAAGACATTCTCATTTATCATTTTATGACATGCTTTTTATAAATTTATTTAACTTGTCTCAGATACTGGTGAATGCCATGAAAAGGAAATCATATACATGTGATGTAAATTTTACACATCCATGTGAAGCACAGAATATTGATGATCAAATTCTTGTAGTAAATTAACAGTTTTTTTACTACAATAATGTAATATATGTTCCCTATTGAAATTTTGAAACAAGCTAAAATTCTTATTTGAAATTTATCTATCAAATTGAATGAATTATTGTTATTTGAATCATGAAGATGTATGACTAACAGAATCTTGATATGAATACAGTATGGGTTTATCTCATTGTTGAAGGCTGTACATTTACCTATAATTGCTTACATCTACTTCATTTGAACTTGGGTGGATGGTTGTCTTATTGGCAATCATACCACATCTCCTTATAATTATTAGTATTTATGTTATAATAATTAAGCTAAAAAGAAAACAAAAATTTGTTGTAGAATTTATAAATTACAAGTCCTCAGCTTGTGACCAAAATGCCTTAGTACTCTTTGTTGTTGAAGGGTAAAAAAGATAATTATTTTCCACCTTTTTTGTAATCTATTAAAAGACAATGCAGCTAATATGTCACCAATGAAAAAGAAATAAATGCTGTAAGCATATATGTTGTATAGAACACAGGGAAAAAGCCACATTTATGAACTCAGAAAACTGCTTGAAGCCCTGACGTTGTTTTTTATTCAAAATTATGTTGTGAGGTAATGAAATATATTCTTAGAGTATCTTCTGCAAATGCTTAGATTTTTTGTCTTTTAAATACAAAAAAAAATCTATTTTCAATCTTGAAACAGGACCAAAACAAAAAGGGCTAAACTTTTTAAACTTTATGATAATGACAAAACATTGACTTTTGTCTGCCATAGAATAAGATGTACCATTATTCTAAAGTAGTTGGTTTAATTTAGTTTTTATTTTTTCAGGGGAAAACAACAAATGATAAAGAAGTATCAACTCTACTGCTTCGTTGGAAAGACATGTTACATTACTATAAAGGGACTGAGCAACATTATCTGTTACAAGTAGCTGTAATAAAAGTCCTGAACAATAACACGGATCTACTACTCAGGGATTCAAGTCTATACTGGGGTGAGTACAGGCAGACAGACATGTAACTCATAGCACAACATTTTAAAGCACTATGTTATGTTATGAATACATTTTACACTCTTTGGTACGTACAGACAGGCAGACATGATACTCATAGCACAACATTTTTACAGCACTATGTTATGAATATATTTTACACTCTTGGGTTAGCACAGACAGACAGACACAATACTCATAGCTAAACAGAAGCAAATTACCATGAAGATGATGTTTCAGTTTGTTCACTAAGGATTTGTTCAACTAAATGTACAGGGAAAATATGAATGTTTAAAATATTTATTAGAAAAAAACAAGAATTTCAAAATATTTAACCATTAATTTATTTAGACAAAAGATTTTAGAAATGATGAAAATACAGAGATGACTGATAGTAACCCATAGCCTAGGGAAAAGATAGAAAAACACAAATGTGAAGAAAAATGGGAAAATGTGAATAGAAAACTATATAACAGTAAACGAAAAAAAAAGCAAAAGCAGGCTAATTTTATTTGATAAATGGATTAAAGAAAACACAACAGTACCAGTAACATGCTGAGATTATATCTGGCTACCGCTAGGCACAGTAGAATTATTAATTTGTTTATTTACTCTAAGGTAAAAGATCATTATTCATGGTCACAAATTGACAGATAATATTTGGATGAAGGTATTTATATTTTTTGGCATGTCTGATTGTCCGAGACTACAACCAGATTGAAGAGTAATTCTTGTCAAAAATGAAAATGGTTAATATTACCCATGGTGAAGCCCATGTCAGAATCTCTGACAACTCTCTGATTTATTAAATACTTATGTTTTTATTGTTGTGGAATTGGTAAATATTCTCACAGATCTTGTATTTCTTAATGATTCATGTTGAGTCATAAGGCGAGAGTGAGTTATCAACACAGTGTTTTCATGGCAACAAAACATATAGCTTTTATCTATAGCGATGGCTAATTAATTAGTAAACTGAAATTTAACATCCCTGCCGATGGGAAAATACTTTGTTATGAATATTTTTAATTTTTACCTACCAATAAATATTTATGCTTAACAGGGGGGGATAACTGATTATCAGATATAGAGATCATTATCAGATAAAACCATATCTTGATATGATAAAAATAATGAAATAAATGTTATCAATTAAATATTTATTAGATCTTTGGGAAAATGAAATAAATAGGGATTTAGACATATGTATTTGATAAAATGATGATTATTTATAGGAAAGAAATATATATGTAGACAAAAGTCAATATATTTTAAATCTCTTTGTAAATCTTCAAACTATATTTTTGGAACTCATTTTTTTCTCCAATTTTGGTGAAATTTTATATATCTTTATTTTTGATTTTTTATGATTGCTAAATGATTATTAATTGAAATATAATAAACCACACTTGCTAAATGACATATAATCATCCTTGTTTACTTGAACCCAATAGTTCTAAGCCCCTAAAACATAAAAAAAAAATTTAAATTGCTAATTTAGATCTTGAAGCAGAAGACCATTTGACTTTTAATTCTGTGCAATGGGAAAGAACTTTTATCTTGTGTTAAAGGTTACAAATTCAAAATTCTTTATAATTGGGTTGATACTCTTTCTTTCTTTGGAAGAAAGAGGTATAAAAAGGGCCCGTTTGAGGCATTGGACCAATAATTTCAGTTAAGTTCAATCAGTTATCAGCTGATATAAAAAAAAATGGGATGGTATTGTTTTAAAAGTTGAAATAAATAAGAGATAAAACATAACATTTTTTTTTAATTATTTGTATTTTCTTTTTTAGCTCTGGAACAAAAAGGTGTAGAATTTCTTTTATACTTTTTATGCCAAAATTGCAAGGTTCTCATAATAATTTACTATCAAGATAGGGATCTGAGAAAAGGAACAACTCATATTAAAAAAAATAAATTCAAAATGTATCTTAGAAAATTGATATAAAATTGAAACCTCTCTTTCTAACTTTAGGTGCCAACCCCTTAATTTTCAAAAGTCACAGAATCAACAGTGTTTCTAAACTTGAGATACTGTGTCTTACTTCTACAAGCTGAAATAAAATGTACTGCAAAAGACTGTTTTGAGTACTTTTAGAATCTTTCACTAGATGTATTTTAATAAGGTTGTATGCAAATTTGTCTGCCATTACTTAAACCACACAAGTTCCCACAAAATATTGGCCACAGACCACAATTAAATTCCCCTATTAGTTCTTTATAACGTTTTGTTTCATTAAAAAAATTGCACCTTGCATTTTTGTCAAATCTTTTGTGTGTGTAATGTATAGTACTAGTCTAAAAATATATCCAAAATTCAGAAAGATTGAACCAATGACTCTGACAAATTTAGCCAATACACATCCATACCCCTATGGACAAGTCAAGAGATGTTCCGAAAACTGTAAATATCACCTTTTTGCACCTGGCCTAATCACTCTTTCCATATCAAAATCAGTTAAAATACAACATCCAAAAGTTTATTTCACCTCTCTTCTTTTATTTCCACCCAAAAAAAACTAAGAAATGAGTGAGGAAGGGAAAGAAAAAAAATAAGAAAAAATACACTCTAATTAAAAGGAACTATATTCGTGGACAACGAAAAGCGGGATCATTAATTGTGGTCTTGGGCCTATTAGGGGTCTAAAACTTGACCAATTCTAATAAAACTTGGCATGATTTAAGCTTAGTGTATTATAAAACAGTTTACAAAGTTTCAAAGCAATATGATACCAATTATAAAAAATGTGGCATTTTTTATATCTGAACTTTGGGTGCTGAATTGTGGCGTTGAATTAGAACAATTTCAACTATCAAATTTGGGCTTCTAAAAACCAAAATATACCAAAACTTACATTTTTTAATGTTTCTATGTATAAGTTATCACCTATTAAAAGCAACAGATAGCATACTTCATGTTTCAGACTTATAAAAAATGACCAGAAGTAAATTTTATATGAGCCTGTGCCAAAAAATAGAGGTTTTCAAATGAAGTGAGGCCTTATATGAAATGTGATATTTTTCACTTACCACAATTTTCTGAAGTTGTTAAGTTATAAAAAAACCTTTTACATGTTATAAATGTACTTTTAATGGAAATATAAGTTTCAAATAGCATAACACATGTGAATAAAATGGTCTTCAGCAATGTCAAGCTTAAAAAAACAGGTTGTCAATTTAGGTCGTTCCCCACATTTGCATATTAAAAAGCATATAAATGATATGGTAGATAGAGATATGCTTCTTTTTGCTCAAATCTTTGTTTAGATATGATAAAACATGGAGCCTGGATGTAACATGACTGTCACTTTCAACTATATATGTAGATAGTATGATTTGATGCAAGGTTATTTACTTCACTTTTTAAAACCGGCATGAAATTTCAGCCTCAAAAGGCCAATATTTTAACCACTAGCTATCAAACAAAAGAAAATAAAGGTAGTCTGTGAAACAGACAAGGTCAAACAACCAGTAATAAGTGCTTTTGATACAGATTCAGTGAAATCTGCTAAAAGGAATTCAACTTGTATGTGCATAGAACCTCATTTTTCACTTGCTTCATACTGACCGTTAGACTAAGACCATTAAAGCAGCACATTTTGCACTCTTATTCTGATTTTATCTACTTTTTTTTGTGTTCAGTGTTCAAAAATGAGTTAAACATTTACATTAGATACCACAAACACAAATAGAAAACCAGAAGAATCTGTCAGAGAGAAAGTAAGCATGCTACTTTTGTAAAAATATTGAAACAACTGAAAAAGTTCAATTTTGGGCATGTAGGCTGAAATGTCACTTTTTTACAAAATTTCTATCAAATAAAAGTGGAAATCATTTATTCTCATGTAGTTTGACAAATTAATACCAATAGGTCATTCAGGGAAGTTGTCAAAGTACAAATTCAATATTTCCTGAATTCACCTCTTAGGCCACAGACCACAATTAAATTCCCCTATTAGTTCTTTATAACGTTTTGTTTCATTAAAAAAATTGCACCTTGCATTTTTGTCAAATCTTTTGTGTGTGTAATGTATAGTACTAGTCTAAAAATATATCCAAAATTCAGAAAGATTGAACCAATGACTCTGACAAATTTAGCCAATACACATCCATACCCCTATGGACAAGTCAAGAGATGTTCCGAAAACTGTAAATATCACCTTTTTGCACCTGGCCTAATCACTCTTTCCATATCAAAATCAGTTAAAATACAACATCCAAAAGTTTATTTCACCTCTCTTCTTTTATTTCCACCCAAAAAAAACTAAGAAATGAGTGAGGAAGGGAAAGAAAAAAAATAAGAAAAAATACACTCTAATTAAAAGGAACTATATTCGTGGACAACGAAAAGCGGGATCATTAATTGTGGTCTTGGGCCTATTGCATTACAATTTAAACATTTGATGTCATAATTAAAAAGTGATTATTGAGTGATGTCAGAAGGTCATTCGGACACAATTCAGCTAAACACCCAAAAGGTTAAATATGTCTATGGTCAACGGATGATTTATCCCATTAAAACACTAGGTACTCTGATAGCACTAAAAGACCAAAGTTTGGTTTTCCCAAAATTCTTTAGAAATAATTTATGATTTGACAGATTACTTTGGACAAGGCCTTACTTACAATTTGAAATTTATGTTGCCATACCAATTAAAAGGATTAGATAAAGTGAGATTGCTAAGTTGATGCAGTGCAGGGGGTACACATAAAAACAAGAAGGTCTGATACAGGTCACATAACTCTGTATTGTGACCACATAAAAAAAGCTCTGGTTGTTTTTATACTGATGATGTTTCAAAGAATATTTCATCACTTGCTGCAATTATTTTAAATTTATAGGTGGTAAAAAGTAATTAATTTGGCATTAAAAAGTTACACATGTAAGATAGGCTATCAATAATGGCTGAACCTTGACCCCGTCTATTCATAATAGATCTCTGAGAGAAGAGGAATATTTGTAATTTTTTTAGGTGTTTGATCTGACTGTGTAATAATTA